CCAGAACTCGACCAGGATAAAGACCACTTTCATAACATACTGTAACTCCACCAATATTGACACTGGGTAGACATTCAAAGTACTGAGGGAATGCCAGTATTGAGCAGAATTGGGCTGTAGAGTATAAAATGCTGCACTGAAAGAACCTCTACAGAATCTGGCATCAAACTCAGTACTCTGCTAGAACTCTGCCTGAGTACAGACTATTTCCATAACAAGCTATAACTCCACCCATATTGGCGCTAGGTAGATGTTCCATACACCATTAGAAAGCTGGTGTCAAGTAAAATTGGGTTACTGAGTATCAGATAGTGCACCCAGAGGGCACCTGAGGAATCTGGCATCAAGGTCAGCACTCTATCACAATAAAAGTGACATTTATAATAGGCTGTAACTCCATCAATATCGGTGCTAGGGAGACGTTCAATATACTGCTGGAAGGCTAGCAGCGAGTATAATCAGGATGCCGAGTATCAGATGCCAGTGCTGTGTCAGAAAGATGTCCGAGAAGTCTCATATTAAAGAACCTTACTAACTGGTACAATACTAGTAAAGAAAACAACAAAGTCTAGAATGCGGGAGAGGTAGTATAGAGAATCCTGTAGGGGGGGGGTGGTATACAGGACACTGGTAAGGGGGTGAGCTGGTAGGAGTGAGAGCTAGTAGGAGGGTCGTAAAGAGAGAGAGGCTGGCAGCGGTGTTTATTACTTGAAATCTGAAGATAGTAACTAGTCAGCCTCACTTACTTAGGATGCAATCAGGACATCGCATTTCCTAGTATAAGTACTCAGATGCAGAGGATGCAACCAGACTTGCCACACAAGTATCAGATGCATAGGACATACTGGATGCAGAATCGTCCCAGCTTGTATCCGGATGCACTACCTGCATATCTGACATAGGAATAATTTTTGCTGACGTTACTGAGAGCTGTATTTATTACTCAGAATCTCCGGATAGTAACTTGTTGGCATCACCTCCTTAGGATACAATCTGGATATGGCACTTCCTAGCATAAGTACTGAGATGCACAGAATACAACTAGACTTGGCACCCAAGTACCAAAAGCACAGGATGCACCAGATACAGAATCCTCCCTACTTGTATCAGATCGCACTGCCCATGCCTCTGATGCAGGAATAACTTTTACTAATGCACTAGTGCATGTAATATGAAATCCCAATATACCTATAGCTCTGAATTCTGAGCTATATAAAATCTGCCTTGCTTAGTCACAGTTCATAACAGTGACTTGGCAGGCAGAGGTAGAGAAGATCAGGGTACCTTAGATCTAGGATTAGCGGACCACAATCACAAAGTTGAGAAAGGAAAGAGAGAAGCTTAAGGAAGACCTTGTGGCTCCAATGTTGATGCTGGAAGCAAGGAAGTGAGGAATGAAGATTAGAGTAGTACAGCTAAAGGGAGAGTTGAGCAAGGAAAAGTAAACTAGGTATGAGCTCAAAAGAGAGCTAGAAAGTCAAGTTGCAATAAGCAGGAGGCAGGTAGAGAGAATAGTATGAGTAGTTTATAGGATTAATAGAAAGCACTACCATAGTAATAGCAGAAGTTGGAGTCAGCCAGAGGAGGGAAGATAGGATTAAGCCTAGTAAAGGGACTTAGACTTGGTGAGAGAGGAGCTAATATCACAAACAGTAACTAAGCAAGGCAGATTTTACATGACTCAGAGTTCTGAGTCATAGGTATATTAGTCTTTCACATAACAAGTAATAGCTAGTCATAGGTTCTTATGTTTAACTACTTGTGACTCACAGTTGTGAATCATACTATGTTATGATTTTCACATATAACTCTGATTGTAAGTCACAGGTTTTACTCAAATGATGCAAGTTGCATACCTGACTTGATTATTAAGTTGTGATCAGTTTTTTTGAACGAGGGGTAGAACAGCGGTAGCAATGGTGATAGTTACGGCGAACGAATAGGGATCGTGGCAATGGGCCAATCAGAAGCCAGCTGAGTGATGGGCTATGAAACAAAATGCCAAGCTCAAGTACGTAAAAGAATGGATCGCACAAGGCAAAGAAAAAAACTTTTCACTTTCACTCTCTATCTCTCCCTCACCATCGCATGCTCTCTTCTAACAAACGGCGAACATAGGAGAATATATCAACCACAAGTGACGCCCGAGAAACTACAGTCTCCCCTCACCCCCCCAGGTGAGTCCCCATACCCTAGCAAACAAGAAAAGAAAAGCTAACAAAGAAAAAGGACAAACTTATGCTTCCCCTGTGTGCTATTCCATGGTTACTCTTCCACCGCACTTTCCAGTACTCCTTCTCCCCGCGCATCCCCATGCTCTCTGTCACACTCCGGCACTCTTCCTGCGGTCCTCCACTGTACTCCTTCAGTGCTCATGAAGTGCTCTTTGTTGTGCAGTCTGTCGTGCCCTGCCATGCGCTCTCTCTCGTGCCCCAGCAGTACGCTCTCCTAACAATAAACAAACAAACAACCAAGGTCCCCCTATCTCCCATAGCCTCTCTTCTCTGCTGGTGGCCTTCCTCCTGCACCTCCTGGCGCATTCCCGCAGCCTGGAGCGCTTCCCCAAAATCCAAGCACACTCCCCAAAATTCTAACAAAGAAAACTAACTATTGGGCAAGCAGACAAACCATCGCGCGAACAAATAAGCAAACAATATGAGAAGGGAAGGAGGGGGAATAGGGGGTAGGAAATGGGAAGGGGGAATGAGTAGGAGGGTGCCGGGCAGGTGTGGGGAGCAGCTTGGACTTCCAACAAGTTTAAGGTATATTACATAGTCACTCATTGGAGTCAGCTAAATGATCTTACATGACTTACAGTTGTAAGTTATAGGTTTCATGTGATATGAAGTATGAGTCATGCCAGGTAAAGAGCAACTATATAAAGAGTCACTAGGGCCCTGAAATATGAGTTCTTCATATATTCTTCTAAGTTATTTCCTATACTTATTTTTATAATGAAACATCTTTATACTTTCTACTCTATCTTAAGAACCTAAGAACTATTTCTCCTTCCATATTGAATGAATACATCCTAAGTGAGGATTTGAGCATATTGAGAAAATAGGCATGACTAGATAGAAGTCTAGGACTTGACTATCAATGTTGCATAGGCAATAGTCTAAGAACTATTTCCTTATCATGAAGTAAGAATTGTTGCCTGTCACCCCTACAAGTCCAGTACGATTCTTAACAAAGAAAGAAAAACAAAGGAAAAGAAAAGAAAGAAAACAGAGAGACCAGACAACCCCCTACCCCAAACTAGCTAACCAGACTATTTTTCAACCTATGCCTATAACAAGTATACCCTAAATAGTCACCAGAGTAAAGAGGAAACCAGATAATTTCTGTCCCCCCTTCCATAACAAGTAACGAAAGAAGTTAACAGAACCTGTGTAAGAAGACAAACATAGCCGCCGTGACAGTTCTACCCACCCCCGTTATGTTCTCTTTCTACACTCTTAACAGCTTAGTTACACTTAGCAGTCTCATCCGTTAAACAAGCGGCCTCACCCGTTCTCTTGCGTAACTTTCTTCTGCGCCTCCGCTCAATTGTTCTACTCTATGCTATGCCCTTAGAACCCGATTGCCCGAACTCCATCCGACATCCCTAAACCTCTGATTTAGGAAACTCTAGGTCTACCCAGCGCGGTGACTTCACTATAAGCATCAGTGGTGCAACGGTAGGCTGAATTAATGAGTATGATATTCTTCCTCACTCCCAGTATTGATGTCGCCGCTCACTGCAACTATTCTGGAATCATTCCATGGTGGCAGGCAACGGAATTCCTCTCGCCAGCAGCGATTACCCCTATCTCCTGAAATTGAGAGAAGCTGTGATAAGCTGAAACTGGTACTACAAAAGTACTTAGGATAAGGTGGAGAGAGGCATATTGGCAGACTTCTAAATTTAATATACTGGTAATGTTGTAAGAGTGGGGGTTTCCTTTTCTAGGCCTAGTGCTTGGCTCCTTCCGGGGCCCCCAAGTTGGGGTTCCCCACAATTCACCCTTGTGGTACTCGTTTGTTCACACTTCGTGGTCTGCTGCTAGCACATGACCCCTCGTGCTGTGGAAATGTGTTGGAAACGGAGATGCCTCAGGATGCGCTCAGAGCGAAATTGGTGACCCTTGGGATCATACACAAATTAACCACGCTGGCCCACAGAGCGGAGCGGCTACAGATTGTAGGTATGCCGGTATTAAACCCGAACACAGTAATCAATAATTTGTATGGAAAAATCGTCTTTGCAGCTGTGAGCTCCTAACCACACTTGATTCATACTCGAATATCCTGATTCATTTTTCTAAGCACAAATATTAGTATATCCCACAAGCTATGGTCACTTTGGAATCACTCTGGGGTCACCTGTGCCTGGAATCACCTGAGAGCAAAAACATCTGGCACGGGAGTTGATTCGGTCCCAGATAATGTGATTTGTGGGGGTAATGCAAGCAACTACATCTATTGCACAATCTTCCGAATGCGGGAGATCAATTCCAGATATCGACACCACCGCTCCGCCTGATACCGGTGGGGCTCCTTTATCTGCAAGATGTCCTGTATTGGCCAAGGGTGCAACGGATGAAAGACTTCTACGAGAACCGGTATGGACTTTGCCCTCTTCTTGGACACCTCTGGTTCCTTCGGCTTCACTGTGTGATCAGCCCGGGAGAATTGGGTGATAAATTTACTGAACGCGGTAAGGGGTGGGCTTTGATATCTTGATCTTCGGTACATTTTCCCAAGCCATCTTGTTACTTGGGTCCCAAACCTAATATTCCCTGGGTGCAGAACAACCGTGCCTATCACCCCTAAATCTAGACTCTTAGGCCTAGCGGTATTATTGTCAATTGAGGGGGATTCCGAACAGGGGTAACTATGGCTTGTGAAAACCAGATCCACCGCAGATCTATATCGCTAGAGCTGCGTTTCCCCCTCCAAGTTCTAGAGAAGTCTGCCTTTCAAGCATTCTCATGCCGACCTAACGTTTTAGGGCAAATTGCATGCTGCATCTACTACTCGAGTATTCACACCCAATAACCGGGATTAAGAGGTGGGGCACTGTTGGTATATGCCTAGGGGATAGGCTACGGGTAATATACTCGGCTTGATTAAGAAATACCCAAGGACATCCGGACTGCTTGTGCTATGATAGTCCAGACTTTTATGTGGTTTGATGTTCCCCTAACAAGGCTTCAGCAAGGGTTAGGTGTGAATCAACGCCAAGGCCGTTGTGACGGGATGGAGCTCAACAACAACGCCAGACCCACTACTGAATATCCACCCCCTCCCCCTAGCTTCCTCATCACTGATCTTTCGCCGTAATGCATCCGTATTGTCCCCCGCACCTATTACTCCCACATTATGTGTGGAATGATGTGTCTGCACTTGGACTGTGCTCTGTAATGGGCAGTTTAATCATTACAGCGGTCGGGAGCGCTTGGGTCATTCTTGGACGGAGCTTGTCGGCTGTGAATAAAGCGATCGTTTGCTGGTTTTTAACGTGTAGGTTATTGCCCATTATATTATTGTTTATGCGGTTTACTTATGAATTACCGTACTGGTGTGCAGGCGGCCTATTGCATGTCTTATTCGAGGGTGAGTTCCGCAGGCTAGAGCCCGGATTTGTCAATTGACCTGGTTGAAAAATGCGACTTTGAGGCTACTTTCTCGTATACCACGAGACCCTCTCTTCGAGAATCGACCTACCAGCCCAGCTCTGGAAGGAATACGCGATCTGCGATTCCAGATATCTTTCCGAGGATACATTTGTGCTGTCGATTGAGCGCATCACCGTGGTACGTGAGAAGCCTTCGACGCGTTCCGGCCCGAGAGTAACTAACGCGTGTGGGAGTTTACATGAAGTTTCTCTGGGGTCCTCTTTCCCTTCTGGCTGCTGCAGCGACAGCCAGAAACAGTTACAACAGACATGCCTTGCAGATGCTTGGGAGCTTGGCGCATATCTACGGATGTCTTCTTTACTTCCTAACCTCTTGGGAAGAGGGGTATCGTCATTGTGGGTGCCCTATTTTTTTTTTCCCCCGTTATCCTGTTCACCCGAGACATCTGCTGATGGGTACACAGGCCGCCCAGAGCCATATTACTTTTGGGTCTATTTTGTTGGACTTAATGCGCCCTGGATAATTATTCCCGCCCGTTGGTTGCACGCTTCGCACACCAGTGTTTCACAGTGACTGATATTGCCTCAGTTTTAATATGCCGGTCTTCCGCAGACATCGCGAAAGGGATGCGGAGTGCCCAAGAGCTGGAAGGACGGAAGCAAGGCGAGTACCCCTGGGATTCACGACAATAGCCCTGCACCAACGCACGGTGCCACGGCTTGTGAGCAGTGCGGGTGGTGCTAGTGGTTAGTTCAATCAGGCTTTTTCGGGGTACGAATCTGTATTATTTTTGACTCGTTAATGCTGAGTGGAATGACCCCTCTATTGCATGCGGCAAGGGTGTGAAGTCTAATCTAGACAATCTAGTGTCGGGGTTTGGGAAGATTTCGGGGAACCTCATCCTAGGTAGGCGGAACCATCGAGGGTGTTGCGCTCGTGCGTACAGTTGTATCTACTGGATGTTGCTATCGCTGCAGTTTCGGTGGACGGCATGCCAGGAGATAATGATGAGATTGGCAAAATGGGATCAGTCGATTGTCCCACTTCAGTCCATGGGTTCCTGCTGCTCATGTGATATAGCATGTTTGCACTTGAATGCAAGAGCTCGTATTTCAACTAAGCGTAGCACGGTAATTAGGTGTTCAAGATGAGAATGGTATCAGTACCTTAGTTCCAGATGATTCCCCGACCTTAACTATGCCCATTACTCCCTCTAGTCGCCAGAGCCATCTAATGTTAAACGGCCTCTCTCTAGCCCTGTTTAGCTCCCTCAACCGTTTGGCTACGGTATAAAAAGGGTCAACCAGCTTCAAATCCCCTAATCCCTCGTGTGTGTGGGCCCACCGTAATTCAATTAAAGGCTAAGCTTCTAAAATAGGGAATGGGGACTTGGGGGTGGCCATTGAAGTACGAGCAGGAATCCGTCGCGTCTTTCTTTTATTGTCATAAATCCTAGTATCGCGCAAAGAAATGGAGATCTCTCCTAGGAAGTTATGCCAGAAGAGCAAAATTCATTTTCAAGGCACGATTACAATTCAGGCGAACAAAGACGGAAATCTGACATTAAATAGGAGATAAAATTTAACTGAGCACTTTAACCTCTCCATTCGGGCTGTGTCTGGCCAAAGACATCCAAGAGTGTCCGCACGAGTGATAGGATGTGACCTTGCATCGCACAATTGTTTCACAAACTCATCATTTCATTTGATGCAGCGGTTCAAGTGGAGGGATAAGCAGATGTCTGACGCCATTAATAGAAAATTGGTTGTGGAGATGCGAGATGGGGAGCTCCATTTGCCTCTCCATTTCTTTTTCTCCCTTCCCTTTGCTTCTAAATTAGCCTTTTTCTACTAGGAAGTGTTACTTGACGACAGGCTAAACCCCTAACCAATGGGTGTCTGTGATTCGTGCGGATCCTGTAAAAAGCGGAATTTGCCAACACACCCCATCAATTTGCAAACGAGAAGCCCTGACCGATGGGCCAGATCCAGAAAGATTTTCTGCGGAGGTTTCCGGGTATCATTATTTTTTTTTTTTCGAATGCGCCACTGGATTTCGGAAACTTGTCCGCTTACTCCGTATTGCGTGTCGAATTGCGGTTGAAAATATGATTGATTCATCAACCTACCGACCTGAACTGTGGAGCGGTGGGCCTTTAGATACAGCGCTGCCGTCCAGGATTTTCAGAAATTGGGCAAAGATGGCAGTTTTTCCATCTCACTTTGCGATCCTGGTGGCTATTTTGGGATGCTACTCGTGGGCCACACGGCCCTGAGTCTAAGAGGCCGAAGCAAAGCGTTTGGATATACTGGAGTCTAATAGGATCCGACTTGGTAATCTTATCGAATGCTGCATTAAGATAACTTGCAGGTATCAGGCTCTCACAAGTCACCCAATTGGTGTCCTCTGTAACAGATATCTCACAATTTTCACGCTCGGGTTTTTTCTCTAGAGGAAAGACCGCATTTTCCAATAGCAATAGGAATGGTGAGATTGATAGCATGGGTTATCCTGGGGATAGGGATGGAGCAGGTGGGGCGGCGATGTGGGGGGAAGAAATAGGCGGAATTTCGTCCCTTGTTGAAGAATTACTCTGCGCCTATCATGATCTCAATCAGCGCGCGCCTTGTTCTCGGTTTCTGAAAAGATGTAAAAAAAGGCCAGCGACGTGGTAAAAGGATCGTGATCCCCCGATCACAATTGATCAAGATGGGAGCTCTTAATTTCCTATTCGTACAGAATCTAGCGGAGCTGATTCGGCAGTTATCCTTGTTGTGGACACTACAATACTTTACCGCTCTCGCACTATCGGAGCAGCTAACGAATCTTTAAATGAAGCGGGGAGCCTAGTGCGAGGGAACAGCGTTAGCTAACGTAGGCGGAGGGGGTCAACGAACAGAGGGGCTCAACGGACAGACCAAACAAACCACCGTTCGCCAAGACCTTTTTAGTGTATTGTTCGCTGAACCCCCCTGTTCGTTGAGCCCCCGTCCATTTTAACATACATGTCCTCAGGACACAAGGGTGTGTAGCGATCCGAATGGCTCGGAGCGGTGTGAGGGAGGAGCAACCCCGGAATACTTTTCTCCGATTCCCTTCTACGTAAAAAAGAGATGGGTGTGATTGTAGCGCTGTAGGCCGATCTGAATTGCCATGGCGTCTTGCCTAAGGCCAATGATTTAAGCCCCCGTGCTGTCATTTTGTTTGTATAATATATTACCGATTTCTGCGCTGGCGACGGTAATGGTTGAGGTGATAGGATCCACAACGACCTTCGTGGGAAAGCATGTCCGCTTCGGCATCATTTCCTCGCCCCTGGCTGGAAGTTGCAACAAAGATGGATCCCATGAGCTCTCGGAAATACCTCTCTTAAAATAGTAAAGGTTGGACGATTATTGGGGTGTTGAGATGCCTAGCTACTAACGTTCGATACAAGGGCTATACGGCACTGTACACGTACATTAATCTGATGTCCATACTGGTATACAAAGCTGAGGGGGGTGCGAACTTCGGTTCAGACATCCACATTTGGTCGTCTGGTCAGGTACCGAATCTCTCCGTCCTGCCACAGGTGGCACGAAAAGCCTGACCTTCATTGCAGCCGTTCTCGAAGGCTCTTGTGCCGTGAGACCGGGGCTGCGTCGAAAACCGGCGCCGGGCACCTTTGAGGCGAAACTTGCTGTGTGGTGCCCGAGAAAATCTTTTCGATCGCATTGCAAACACTGCGGCAACTTGCCCGGGGTTTCTCTTTTACTTCTATTTGGCCAAGTTTGGCCCCTATTATAATGCCTTGTCACAATAAGGAAAGCATTTGACATTGCACGGGCCTGCCACCAGCATTCTGGGATCCTAGCGAACCTGCACCCCCGGCATATCCCTCAGGGAGTGGTAACCAATCCACTCTCAGTCCATCTAGACCAAGTATCATAATTCCGCTACTATGCGTCCATCCGGGGACAAAACCAATAAAAAAAGGACCTCGACTATGATTTATCCTTGCCCGTGTGTGCTCGAGTAGCGGTTTCGCGTAAGGTCCGAATCTGGATGTTTAATGTTGGTGGCTCAGATACGGGTGCCACAACCCGGCGAGGGGGAGGGAGAAGCTTCCGAAGAAACATGGTTGTATTATATTTGTAGATGCGTTTAGTCGTATCGCATGTTATTTACCCCACCCTGAGTGGATGGTGTAACGGCAATGGATGAATCTTGGACACGTGCATGGGTTCACCACATCCTTTGTGCATCTGAATGTAACAACTAGTGAGCTCTGACGACTCGACTCACGCCGCCCTTGTTCATTATGGCCAAGTGTGCCTGGCAAGGGTGGGTTGTAAGGCTTGCGAATAGGCGGGCTGTATTCGAGTGCCATGCAGTAGATTTACGATAGGAAGCTAGAGTCACTTCTGCAAAGGTGGGGCATACATATGCGCGAAATCAATTGGGAAACCAGTCTACGATGAGGCTCACCGAGGGAGCCTCCCAACTGACCACTGGCGGTAAGCCTGGCATCCATGCATCAAGTTCCATAATCGCGATGGATTTACCAGGCTAGGAACTGGGAACGGTAAGTCCAGACACGAGACTTCAACTCCGAATAAACTGGACGTGTTTGAATACCTGACGCGGGATGCATACGGGTGAGGTTGAATTGGTAAGGGTTTTGCAACCACACGGCCGAGGGAGCCGTAGTGTTTGGACTGTCCCGGGGACCTTATCTTTTTGATGATTGATGATAAATATCAGAGTCCCCCCGACGAGAATCCACCCTCTTCATTATCAACTCAAGCCTACTTTCATTTTTGACAGTGCGAGAGAACTAATTCGTATCTCGATATTTAATCATACCCCCAAGAAGCTCATTCAATCATCACTTCCTTCCACCACTTCCGAACCAGCATGGCACCTCACTCTCTCGAACCTGCCGAAGAGGCCCCTAGCTATGATATCAATCTCCCATACAAGCCGGCTTCTGAGAATGAGCAACTAAAGAAAGAGTGCGTCTCTAAATATCCCCAATATCTCCCACGATGGGAACCGGTATTCTTTCCACCATGCCCGGAATTCGATTTCATGGACCCTGCACTACGCGCCGATAAGGAGAAGAGAACTCTTTTGAAAGACGCCCAACTCAAGCACATCAGTCCCAAGATGGGCACCGAGCTTTCCGGGGTGCAGCTATCATCGATGACAGATGCTGCCAAGGACGAATTGGCTCTCCTGGTGTCCGAGAGGAAGTGCGTCGTTCTGCCGGACCAGGACTTTGCCGACTGGGGCCCAGCTGGTCAGCAGAACTTCGCGGCATACTTTGGCAAGCCCAACTACCAACCCGTGACGGGGTCTGTTCCAGGCTTCCCTGGTTTTCACATCATTTATCGCGACGGCAACCAGGCAGAGATTGACAAGTTCTTCGAGCACAAATTGACTTCTACGCTGTGGCATCAAGATGTTAGTTACGAACGTCAGCCTCCTGGATACGTGATCCTGTGCATTCTACAAGCACCGGAAGTCGGTGGTGACACGGTCTTTGCATCGACCACCGAGGCTTACTGGTAAGTCGCATCCCCTTGCGATTGTAATACAGACCTCACCAGGCCCTGCATTGGTTTTGAGCTAACCCGACGCCATAGTCGCTTGTCCCCGGGCTTTCAGTCGATGTTAGAGGGCCTCAGGGCAACCCACTCTTCGGAGAAGATGTGCAATTTTGCCAAAGCGAATGGTGGGCTTTGCCGCAAGGATCCAATTCGCACCTCTCACCCAATTGTTCGCGTGCACCCGGTCACTGGTGAAAAGGCACTTTTCGTCAACGGGGAATTTATTCGCGGAATTGACGGCTGGAAGGGCCCCGAATCGGACATCCTCCTAAACTTTTTGATCGACCACATCACCAAGGGACATGACTTTCAGGTCAGGCTACCCTGGAAGCCCAGGAGCGTTGTCATTTTTGATAACCGTACCACTTGTCGTGAGTAGCCGCAGTCAGCTGAGAAGATGACCAATCGGAGAGCTGAAATGGCTAACACTAAAACTTAACCCAGACACTGCAACCGTAGATTATGATGCACGGTCAGATAAGGACAGACACATGTTTCGTTTGGCTTCGATGGCAGAAGTACCGATTCCCGCGAACAAGTAAATGGTCACATGAAGTTACGGGCAGAGAGTGTGTGTGGGGGCTGCAAGATATCCTTTTGTCTTTTTTTTTGCCTTCCTGAATGATTTCGGTCGCTGCAATTGCGTTTTGTTCGACTGGTTTAATAGTCTTGGTTTGCGATGTGCCTGGAAGGGTAGGGATGCAAGAGGTACAATACCCCTCTCGTGCCCAGCTTTTTCAAGGCTATTCCCTTTTGATGTCTTTTTGCGATCCCTCTTTGGCCCAAGCTGTGTTTGCATGTAGGATACGAGTAGTACACATATCAGACATTCATTCCGTATGGTTCCTTATGCATGTCTTACTTGACCAGACAGAGCGAAAAAGCAAGACATTAAGATACGGTATCCACACACCCTCTTCAGAAAATTTCCAGCGACACTATCACCCCTCAATTACCGGTACCGATAACTGGTACTTGTATCATAATATGCAACAAGACGTCATCTCTGTGCATCCTAGACCCATGGCCCAGAGCGATGGTAATCTATAATCTGTAATCTGTAGGTTATAGATTCTCTCGCCTTAGCTTGGGCCATAGGGCCGAACTACCTTAGTCATTCAAAGTCATGTTAGAAGGACCTGCTCACTCCTACCGAAATATATATATAGTGCTGGCCCAGCAACCAAATATGACACCTCATCACCAATTCCCTTCAGGCAATCAGAATGAGTCTCACGGCTCCCTCAGAGACTACACCGCTCTCCCAATTGTTCTCCCTCGAGGGCAAGGTATGTCTGGTTACAGGAGGTAACAGGTATGATCCCTGGCTTCCCCCCCCCCTCGTTCCTCGCTTCATCCCACTCACTCCCTTACCCCCCCCCCGTCATCCTATGCATGAAGTGGTATTCCCAATCTCGAACACAAGGGTAACTGTACTATGCACTTGTCGAGCTGGGTAGAGGAATCGGGCTTGCTGTGTGCCAGGGCTACGCAGAAGCCGGAGCGGGAGGGGTTGCAATCATACACTCTTCCGAAGCTACTGCCGCGCTGGCAAGCGAGCGTGCAACAGAAATTCAACAGAAACATCCGAAAACAACCGTCAGAATCTATCGCGCGAACGTAGCTATCTCAAAAGAGATCGAAGATGTCACGAAACAGGCTCTCTTAGATTTCGGTCGATTGGACGTGGTAGTGGCGAATGCAGGGGTTTACACGGAAACTCCGGCGTTGGATATGTCCCCAGAGGAGGCCCAATATGTTACAGGGGTTAACTATTTTGGCCCACTCTACACTGCCCAGGCCGCTGCGAGGTGAGTTGAAATAATTTCACTCATGGAAGGAGGAAGCCTTTGAGAGAAAGATAAAATCAAAAATGGCGCCTATGCCAGAGCCATAGGATATATCCCCCTTGAATGTGCGCAACTCGGTCTATTTGCTAAACGAACATCCATTGCAGGATCTTTAAGGAGAACGGCGGAGGGAAGATAATAATGACAGCATCCATAAAGTAATATTCCAAATCCGAACAATTGCCTGCACTCATTAGAGATTATGGCTAATCACATGATAGTGGACATATGATTCTTCGACCCCAGTATGAATCAATTGTATTTCCCACCCCTCGGAATTGGAATGATTTTGGTTGACAGGCCGGCCCATCGGGAAATAGTACTGTGCCACCAAAGCGGCTGTATGCCATCTGACTCGAGCACTCGCCGTAGAGTTCGCCCGGTGGAATATCCAAGTCAACGCAGTTAGCCCTGGTTACATCGATACGGAAATGTGGGTGGCCCAGGTCAATTCCGTTTTCGTTTAAACGGTTGTTTACCCTATTGGATATTTCTAACCTACGGCCACACGGCACAGGACAACTGAGCTTGTGAAAAAGAACCCCGAACTCATAAAGGCCTGGATGGCAGATTGCCCGGCAGGGAGGCTATGTAAGGTGTGGGAACTCAAAGGTGTATATGTCTTTCTGGCCAGTGGAGCTAGTTCATATGTGACAGGAGCGGATTATGTCGTTGATGGTTAGTTTGGCCCTGACCGGATTTTTCTCTATTCGGTTTCACTTACCAGGCCTTAGGGGGGCACACCTGCCATTGATGGTGAACCAGCTGGTCATCTACACCGCTTAGGACCGTGTGAATTGTTGTGCAATACTAGGGGGAGGTATTATTGGGTTTTGGCGCGGCAACTTCGTTGCAGCGAGTGACGGAATATGACTTCTACTTTTGAAGAGAATGCGTGGGGGGAAATGGTGTTCTGGACAATAAAAGAAAAAATGAGGGCTTTGCGAAACTCGCGGCGTCTGCGTGCTTTCCTGGCTATCCCCGTGCACGGTTCTCGGAAGTGGGGCAGTGTGTTTCCAGCCTCACCGGTCTTGTTCGGTAAAACTGCGACTTGCATGATCATCCGGACTATGCGCGGTTGCCCGGTGTGGGGATTAAGGCAAGAACTCGTACTACCAGTATTCGTAGAACTGTGGTATTTTACAAGTACAATGCTGCGATATCCGTCCAAATTCGGCACTGGTAGTCTACCCTAGGAATGTCCGTGCCGAGATGTTCCAGCCTGGAGCCCAAACTATGAGGCTGTCATGCACATCACACGCATATGGGGTAAACTAATTAAGCAAATAATGATTAGTCTAGGAACACGAACTGGAGATACTGGTAGTTGGTATCGAGAACAAGTTGGGGGCACGGATCCCGCTCCCATGGAGCTGGGGTGCATAATTATACAAGTATTAGTCGGCGGGAAATAGGGTTTTAGTCCGCTGCTGTGATCGCAGGGGAAGCAATTTCTCTTCCTTGATCATAAGTGTATCGCCTGCGCAGTGTGGAACAAGGCCTTCCCTGTATTACAACCAACCGCGGAAGGGATTACCGGGAATGGAGAGAGATCCCCGGAGGAACGCTTCCCACAATCACTCATCTTCCAGAATACTACTGCACTGCTACAGTAGCAAGTAGATTAACTCCCCTACCAGCTATAATTCAATGTACGAGTACTGTATACTCGAGTACCTCATGAAGAGACAGGGAAAAGCAAATGGGAGCACCGGGTTCGCTGCCCAAAAATAGTTGGAATGCCTTCTTGATCGGGTCCAACAAATAGTGGCGGGAGCCAAGAAGTAACTTACCGGTATTCGAGGAGAAGAATGGTGAATTAATGCGGGGGTAGTTAGATATGCGGCACGGATTCCCAGAATGCCAGATATCGGCTACTTGCCCACTGCTCGGGCATAGCATAGCAGTTAGCTGCTACGTAAGCACATCTGCGGCAATGCGGGGCACAGTGGTAAGGAGCCGCGCCAGAACCTCACCCCGGTATTTCCCCAGTGCACAACGTCGGGCATTGTCCTCCTGATCTACTTCAGGATAAAGAAATAGATAAAGGGGCGGTGTCGGCGGCTCGTTAACAGAGGATATAGCGAAACAATAACGGCACAGCAAGTGTCTCGTTGGTGGCGGGTGGGATTGGAGAGTGCTCGTGTATGGCCATCAAAATCAGAATGATTGATACGGTACCCCTGCCATCCAAGGTAAAGTTAGGATAGCAACGAAATACCGGTATGCAGCCAAATGTGATCGGCGGTCCAAGAACCTGCAGGGGCTGGTGTGGGGAGAAAGAAAAGTAAGCAGAATGCAGTGAGGCAAGTGTTGGGATCATGTGATTCTGGAACGAACGGCATCGTCTATTTTCAGGTTGGGCGTGTGTAACTGGTACAAGTTCATGGCATGAACGGAGCGAGCACAGGGGGGGGGGGGTCCGGGAGCTAAAAGCCATTTGCCAAGGACTTCAAATGTCCCCTGTAAATAGTCAAAGTAGTTAGCATATCAACTAAATATTTATTGCCTGACTGGAAATAATATTAAAGTAGAAGTATATTAAAAATAAGAAGTATTAAAGGTATAATTAATAATAAAAATAGGGAAAAGATTAACTAAACAGAAAAGATACAAAATTTACTAGTAGGTATTATGAACTCAACTTAGCGAGGATTAAAGATAAGTGAAATTGGCTAGGATTTCCTACTAAGTTGTTTTACACTTAACTCATATAAAGTTATGGGCTGTTATATGAATGGTTGTTTGTTTGGTGATTCATAATTGGAAGTCACACTTAGTTATATTGTGTATGACTCAGGTAGTGAGTCATAGATTTTACTCAGGTGATATCAGTTGCACACCTAACCTTGTTAGTTGATTGCATTTGAGTGTGGTTTGGTTGAAACCTACACATGAGCTTTTTTGGTTGTTACATGGAAAACAGGTTTGAAGGGTGGCAACCAGAGAAAATCAATCTTGAGATAAATGCTTTTTTCTTTTTCTCTATAGTAGAATCACTTCTCTTTTATAATAAAAAAGGTTAAAAATAAAATAATTCTGTTAAAATTTTATTTACTATGTGAAGTATATATCTATACTTTAAAAATTAATGGGTGTGGTTTTATTAGAACCAGTATATGGGCACTCAACTCCCAAAATTTTATTTTGATATAGCCACCTGGATAGACTTTTAGAGAATACTCCTAATGGCTCAGAAAATATTCTAGAAGCTCCAATGACCTCTGTAGCATGTTTTACATACAAAAATATAAAAATTTCTCTATGGTTGTAATACTTCGAACTTGTTTTCCTGGTAACAACCAAAAATGCTCATATGTTGGTTCTAATAAAACCACACTCAAATATACAAAAATATATTATTTTTATAGTTTTCCTACTATGTTTATTCTTAGATCCTAAAGGCCTTGCACATTTTTCTTATTTTTAGCAATTCCTCCTCAAGTAGTAGAGCCTTTCTTAGCTGCTTAACCATCTGGCCTACTTGTGACTGTTTATCCCAACTTGAGGCATCAATGATTTTCATGTGAATTTATGATGTCCTACATGCAACATGATTCAACAAATTTTTTTTTTTTACTTTAACTATTCATAACATCACACCCATATGACCTAGTAATTTGGAACTAGGTTCTACAGATAGCTAGAAAGCTCTAGTATTTTTTCACAAAAAAGAGGGTTTTTGAAATATTTTATATTTTTGTACATAACACAGGCTACAGAGGTTGTTAGAAGCTTAAATATATTTTCTAAGCTATTAGGCCTATGCTCTAGAGTACTACCTATGCTGTAATGTGCTCACACTGGGGCGCTAGTCACGCCATCAAATACAATAGGAGTAGAATACTAGTCTACTGGAAACTAACAATTCTTAGGCTCACTAAGGGAGGCTTTGCTGGTGTAATAGGAGAATAAGGATAACAGGTCAACCGAGTACATTAGAATACTATCTGTTAAAGTCTGCTGTTTCCAGAGTAGAAGATGGCAGTCGTTTTAAGTACATGTATTTGAGTGTGATCATGAATTCTCACTCATGTTCTTATTCAATCAAACTGTAAAAATAACCAAGTATTAACCGATACTTAAAACAAAACATGAAACAAACTAACTGAGCACCAGCTCTGGTTACATATATGGCTATGCTAAAATAAATATTTTGGTATTGAAGGCTAATGTGTAGGTTTTTAAAAAACTATATTTCTTTGATTAAAAGTATGTTGTATACCCACTAATAGGAGTTGGGTGAGAGATTTGACATGACTCATAGTTGTGAGTTATATATTATACATGACTCATAGGTATAAGTTACCAGGGTTAGGGGTTATCAAGGAAGAACCATAGAAGGAGGCAGACCTACCTAGTTAGTATATTCCTTATAAATTTATCTAAGTAGTGGTCACTACCAGAGACTATATAATACATTCTTTATACTACTGCTCTCCTATGCTACATACGATCCAAACCCATGTTACACAATTCTATACTACTACTCTGATGTCTTAATATATATACTTACAGTTTAGGAGCATGTAACCTTGGGGGGGGTTGTGCACTATTAGGATATGGGGGGATTGTTTATTTCATGTTGATGGGATTACTTATCACCTTACTATGAAGAGTGATCATTACATCCTATTATCACCTTTTCTTCAATCTTTATTGTACCCTACAGATTTGGCCTTTCAAGATACACTGCCATAATCCGTATCACAAATTTGATATTTCTTTAACCTTAATCTTCTATGCTGTACTGATACCTCAGACCAAGCAATCATTCTATATGTATTATGTTTGGCCTTCTCAGACTTCCTGCAATCTACCTGATGGACTTAGTATATGTTCCTGACTTTCCATCAGCAAAAATTGACTCTTGCATCCTCTGCATCCTCTGTATCTGACAAACAGGATATATAAGATGCAAACAGTTAATCCGGATGTCAGCTGAATAGGTTGTTGCATCCTGATGCTAGTATCTGCACCCTCTGTAACGGGCAGGGTCTGAGGGTCGGGTAGCCCAAGGCACACCACTATAGTAACAGGCAAGAGTCTGGAAGCGAGTTTCAGGAACGTGAGTACAACCGAAACGAGCTGTACAAGGCTCGAGGGGTTCGGGGGTTCAGGGTCAGGGTTCAGGGGTTCAGGAGGACGCGAAGTAGAAGAGAGTGTAATTCCTAGGTACAGGTGTCCAAAGGAGATTACCAGATTGCGTGAAGAACATAAAATATAAGGGCGCACACCCCCTTATATAGAAGAAAATCCTCCCCTGATCACTCATACAAAAGAAAACCCTTGGTGTGGCGCGCAGCCGCAATGTCTCCGCTATGTTCCGCCAAGTTCCGCCACGCGGTCGCATGTCCCAATCAAGTACCAAGAAAATCCCTCACATAGCAACCGGAAAACCCCAATTAATATATGCAACCAAAAACCCAATAACTGTTCCGTCTCCATAACTGGGTGGCCGTGACACCCTCCTACATTCGGAAGCTCACCAGAGAGGCAGCACTACAACCCCCCTGAGTTGGAACCTGTTACTACCTCAGTTCTGAGTCTCCTGACAATCCAGGCCCTTTCCCCCCTAGTGTCCCGATGCCTCTACTACTCCTGCCTGGCATCCTGATACCCATATTACTCCTTGCTGCTATCGAGACACCATTGGACCTCCTGCCTGGCGTTCCAGCCATCCGGCCACGCCTGGTATATGTCCAGAGAATCTCTGCTGCTTCCACCTCTCGCCGTGACATTTATCAAGGCTCCCCCCAGCTTCCAAGGCTGTCTGTGTACAGCGGATGCTGTTTGCATGACTGAATCTATATCAGTTGTCTCCTATGGCATATGTCATCTGCTCTCCTCCTCCTAAGTTCCTGTCCCTGCTCCTGTGTCTCATGACTTCAAAGAACTACTCCTGTGTACCCCGAGTCCTCCTATATTACCTGCATCTTCCTATAACGGGGGCTCTCACAGAAAGCTGGATCCCAAGGATGCGACTGCACCAAACTTCGAATCCTTTGACCAAAAGCTCTTGCAATAATTTGTTAAGAATATAAGTAACAGTAAAACTTAATATTGTTAAGCTCAGGCTTAGCGCAATTAAAGTCTCTCGAGAGGATTTTGATTGTGTCAGGGTAGGAGAGTGCTCGTATAATCTTTAAGTAGTGAGACTTATACCAA